TAACACTTGTGCAAAAATTCCAAAATATTTTGGAATTTCAAATTTCCAAAACTAATTCCAAGCCTAATCGTTTTGGAATTCCAGCAAAATTCCAGCAAACCTAATGCTGAAACCACAGGCCAGACAGCAGAAGGAACTAGAACAAGGACCAGAATTCTAGTCAGGGCTGCTATCTCTCTCCTCTGCTGCCTTCTTCCATTTCTCTCTGACGAGCTTCTGTGGGCTACAGGGCTGAAGCAGCCTCTACCTCCCGTGCGTCCTCCCGTCCCCCCGCCCATTGGGTGGAGAGTGAGCTTCATCGTATCTCAGTCCAGTTTCATAATTTGCAGCTCACTTGTGACTCAGTTCAGTTCCAGTTCTCTTAACAAGTTTTTGAGATATAATTCACTTACCATACAATTCACCCATTTAAAGTGCACCATTCAGTAGCTTTTTGTATATGGACAGAATTGTGCAGCAAACACCACCATCAATTTTAAAACATTCTTGTCATCCCAAAATGAAGCCCCATACTCTTTAGTAGTCCGACCTCCACATCCCCTCCTAGTCCCAGTCCTAGGGCACCCCTAACTATATTCTGTCTCTAGAGGTTGTCTATTATAGACATTTCATATCCATACAATTATACAGTATGTGATTTTTTTTTAAAAGATTTTACTTATTTATTTGACAGAGAGAGACACAGCGAAAGAGGGAACACAAGCAGGGGGAGAGGAAGAGGAAGAAACAGGCCTCCCACAGAGTAGGGAGCCCAATGTGGGGCTCGATCCCAGGACTCTGGGATCATGACCTGAGCTGAAGGCAGACGCTTTGCGCCTGAGCCACCCAGGCGCCCCAGTATGTGATCTTTTGAGATTGGCTTCTTTCTCTGAGCATGACATTGTCGAGGTTCATCCACACTCTAGACTGAATCAGTACTTCATTCACTTTTGAGACTGACTGCTGTTCCCCTGGGTGGGTACACCAGCGTGGACTTATCCATTCACCGGCTGCTGGACAGTTGAGTTTGCTCCACTTGCGGCTGTCATGACTAATGCTACTACAAACATTGGGGCACACATGTTTATATGGACATGTATTTCATTTTCTCTTGATTATATTCCTTTCTAGGAGAGGAGTGCTTGGTCATATAGTAACTCTAGGTTTAACTTTTAGGGAACTGCCAGAGCCCAGTCCCACTTGAAATTCCCATCTCATATCCCTTTCAGTCTTCCCCTTACTCCCAGGACAGGGTAAACATTGGTTCAGCTATCTTGCTGTGGGAGAGACAAATACCCCAGGCTGGGTGTGGTTCAGGCCAGTAAGTGTGGCCTCTGATACAGGCCTAGGACCCCAATGCCTGTGGCTTAGTTCCCTTCTGTGCCCCGTGAGGAAACAGAAGCCATGGAGTCTTTGATGGTCACTGAGGGCTCCAGGGCCTGAGATGAGGGGTGTCCCTATTTTCTTCATCCCTGAAAATGTCCCCACAGCCTTTCCCATCCCCAGGCATGGTGTACTTCAGGGAAACTTCCCCGCCCCTTCAGAAACTCCAAGCAAGAAGCAGGTGTCACATTTTATTAAGAGCACTCTCAAACCTCAGGATATCCAGCATCCCTTTCTTTCCCCCAAAGATGAGAGGGGAAGAGAACAGTCCACATTCCTTTCAGGTCCCCAGAATGTCCTCCTTGTCTCTGGAATCCGTATCTTGATCGTACATTAGAGAGGCTAGTAGACCAGGTCAGCCTCTGCCACTCTTCCACTCTCAGCCCTCGTTTCCTGGCCCTGGACCTCAGAGACCCCCCTTACTGAATCTGACCTTTGTGACTGCAGTAACTGTTCTCCACAAGAAGCTGTCTTCCAAGTGTTTCTCCCTATGCAGTCACCTGGAAGGAGATGGGCAGGAAGCGTACTTCGTCAGTAACTCACATCAACCTATTCAATTTAAAATAAACCTCCCTTTTATCTGAGTTGCTTTCAGGAATGAACCAAACCTTGACCTTTTTGCTTCTAAAAACAAACATCCATCTCTGTTGTTCTGGCCAGAACACCCTTCCCATCCGCACCCTCCCTTTCCTCAGGGGAAGGCTATGCCCTCCTTCACAGGCAGGGGCCCATGGGATCCAAGCCACGTGGGTCACTTCCGTAGGATCTCCAGAGGCTGACCTCCAGTCCCTGGGCTGATCATGGGTCGAGGAAGGGTGGTTTTCAGGATGGCCCCCAGGTGGTCTCCTCTCCCCTCTCTGCCTCCAGCTACCCATGACATTCTCCATTTTCAAGAGAGGGGGCTAGCCATCATTGCTAGTCATCACATTCCAGATAAGCCCGAGAATTTGGGTTCTCTGGGAGCAGAGAAGGAGCTGTCTTGCTGCTGTCCTTGGGGAAGGCGCTTAGACTTGTTCCAGATAAGCTGCTCCTTCCTCGCAGTTCTCACCCGTCTTGATCTTGGCTCATTTCCCCAAAACCCTGGCTGCACTTCTCTCTCATCTTAGGCTGTGTTCTCTTATTTTATTTATTTATTTTTCTCTATAATGTGAAGCCGGGTGGGAAGGATTGGACTTGTTTTTTGAATCTGCACTAGCTAATGCTGATTTCGCTCCTGCTGTTTGACAAGGACTCTTCCAGGGGCTTTCCATGAACATTTACATCACATCACATCACATCACATCACATCACATCACATCACATCACATCACATTACATACACTGCATTTGGAGGAAAATATCTGGGGAAGAAAGGATAGAAGTGACTTCTGCCTTGCATTCACAAGGTGATCCTGGTAAAGATGTACCATCTCTCTTTGCATCAGTTTTCCCTTCTACAAAACAGTTGGGTGGGGCCTTGTAGGCTGGTGGTGTACCCTGATGAGGTTATTGCTGTGCTGCTCATACTGCATTATTTATGACCTGGATCCTGATTTTCTATTACCAAGCATCAGTGCAACACGTAGTGGTCTGTATCCTACCCACCCCTGCACGTGCACACGCGCCTACACACACACAATTCAGCTATGCCTCCTCAGGATCTTTTATTATAAAGGGAACAGCACTGAATTAAATAAATTGGGAACAGACATAAGCTCTTGGCCAAATTCTTAAAATGTTTTCTTGTTGCTATTGTTTAGGAGTTGAACTGTCCTGTCCGTTACTGATTCTAAAGGATTATTTTTCTGTGTCTTTACAGAAGTCCTTTGTGTCCATGGCAAGTTACTTGGGAAATAAAGGTAAAAGAAGGCACCTTTAAAAAATCACCTGCAAGCACTGCACCCAGAAACACCACTCTTAACACTTTGGCGTCTATCCTGCTGGTGTTTTGTCGAAGCGTATGGATTTAGGAGGCAAGCAGATGTGCTGAGATTCCAGTTTGAGGTGTTTTGGGGTGCTGTTGTCAAAACACCCGAGCCTTCCCCCATCTGAGGCGAGTCTGTTTTCCTAAGCCTCAGTTGCGCAGAGAAGAGCTGGGAGCGAAGAAGTAGGCAGAGAGGGAGGGGCTTAGACCAGACAGAGGAAGGCATACCGTGGGAGTGAGGCCCTCTCTTCAAGACAAGCAGGAACGCCAGTGGGTGCTGTGGGGGTCCCGAAGACAGTAAACTTGAGAGCCACACAGGGGACACAGCCCACTCCTCAGACCATCAACTAGCTGGGGAAGAAGGTCGGGGAAGAGCAGACATCCGCCCTGCCACTGCCTACCTGGAGCTGAGGGTGGAGAAGCAGGTCCCCAGGGGAAGGCTGGCTTCCCACAGACACAGCCCCATCCTTGGGGTGGCAGCCAGTCCCATCTATAGCCAATACAAGTTTCTGTCCCTCTTGTTTGAGGGATACAGTTAAAAGAACAAGAGGAAAGGAGAATGCCACTTTTTCAGAAGAAAACCAATGAAAGGGAAGGCATGGAGAGAGGACAAGAAAACATTAAAGAAATATGGCTAAAAAAACGGGTCCTATCTGCGCTTCAGAGCCCTGTCCCTGCTCATCCCATCCTTATGAACCCGAGGGGACGGGGCGTAGGAACAGGGTTGGTCATCCAGACTTGGGTCCAAATTGGCCTTCTCTTGCACCTGCTTTGAGTCTTACTAGTGAAAAGCCTCACAATGTAGTGGGATCACAGTGGCCTAAGTTCAAATGCAACCATGCAACCTCGACTCTTTCTTCATATGTAAAATGGGCCTAATGGTGTCTAGACCACACGTTGCTCCAAGAAAGAAATGGAGTACCATAGTGGGTTAAATAGTGTTCCCCAAATATTTATGAGACCCTGGAGCCTCAGAATATGACCTTATTTGAAGTAGGGTATTTGCAGGTGTAATTAATTAAGAGGAGGTCATCCTGGATTAGGCTGGTGTCCTAAGAAGAGGAAAGGATGTTTGAAGATACACATAGAGAAGGTCATGTGAAGATGGAGACAGAGATTGGAGTGGTCAGCTACAAGCCCAGAATGCCAAGGCTTGCCAGAATCTGCCAGAAGCTAGGAAGAGGCAAGGGAGCATTCTTCCTTGAAGCCTTCACAGGGCATGTGGCCTGTTTTCACACGTCTGTCGCCTCCAGAAATGTGAGAGCTCTGGGAGCACAGTGTCCGTTGTTTGAAGCCCCCCCGTCTGTGATAACTCCTGACGACAGCACTGGGAAGCTCACAAAGGTACCTGTGTGAGGTTCCAGGCGCAGAGCGAGAACATGCTGGCGTTCTTTCCCACCCCCCTCCTACCCCTATGCTTGTACCTGCTTCCCCAGGGACATGGTTCAAGGAGTACCCGAGGGCCAAGAAGCCATGCTTAAAAGCAAAACCAAAACTTCTCAGGAGGCTGGGCTTCGGTCAGTTCCTCACAGCCAGTTTTGGTTTGAATTACCCTCATGTTACAAGGAAGCCTGAGCTGGATGGAGAGGATATCTTTTCCTCCCTTGCCTCAAGTACCTTAAGTGACGGTTTTTCATGACCCATCCTCGTACGTCCCTCTGCCAGCCAGAAGGAGTCCTGCCTTGGAGTTACTGCTTGTTGTAGTGCGCAAGGCATAACCTACATTTGCTTTGTTTTATTTTGTTTTGGCTGTTTGTTGGCTTCCAGGAGGGGATCTGATGCAAGGGCAACTGTTTGTTGTATTGTCCTTTGCGTCTTTCCCTGAGGAGAGGTACCAACTTCTGCTGCGAGTATCTAGGAGGCTGAGACTTTCTCTTATCTTGAGCCGGTGTTGCAGATGGTGATGAGGCCGCCACGGTTGGGTAAGTGCGGGCAGACTTTCACTCCACACCACTGCGGGCAGGAGGAAATTGGCCTTGGCAGATGTGCTCACAGACACCAACAAGCTCATTTCTGGCTGTCTCCAAAACAGTGGGATTTCTCCTCCTTGCTCGTCTACTTATTACTCGTGTAGGAAAGTTTTAGGAGATGAGGGTTTGTTTTTTTCTGCATGTAATAAATGCGCAGGGAAAAAGAAACGAACTATCTTGAGATTGTCTCTCAGCTTACGATTTGGGGAGGATCATTGGAACTTAAAAATTTGTGTCTTTTTTTACAATAGACATCTTTTGTGGTTATCCCTTTGGCAGGCAGTTGCCATTCCAGGTGAGCCAGTGTTTACAAGCTATGCTCTAAGAATAAGCTGTTTAAAACACAGAAGAGCAACAACAAAAATGCACCTACAATTAAATTAACTTGTGTTACTTAAAAAAAACAACAACATGATTTGATTAGAGCAAATTTAGCTAAATGAGAGAAACCTGCGGCCTCTGTTCTTCATTGCTCACTGCCTGGGTGCAGATAGTAGAAAAGAGGTGACTGTGGATTCTCATGGGAGAGGGTTGAAAGGAGCAGCTTGAGTGAAATTCCGTACAAATAAGGCCTTCTGACGCTGAACTCCCATGGTTCTGTGGAATGGAATCACAGATAGCCGTTGACAGAATGCACAGCAAGAATGCTCAGTGTCAGCAATAATCAGACATGGTCTCAGGAGTCAAACGCCAATTGCTTGGCTATTCTCCAAGCTCCCTTCCAAGCCCGAGAGTCGAGGAGTGGATGAACCATATTGCTCTGAGAGCAGAAGTGGTCTACGCCTGTTCACCACTTGAACTCTCACTACCAGCAGCTCTTCCTTACCTGCAGCTTCCAGGTGTCTTCTCCCATATTTCGCTTGTGTGGGAGCCTTTCCATTCAGCCAGAGCTCTTCCTGGGCAAGGACTGCACCTTTCAGGTTCTCTCAATCCCAAGTGCCTGGCACAGTGCATAGGTGACATGAGGGAATCTGAAAGTTTAGCCAGCCCCAGTCAGCTCAATGCCTTCCAGCCAGCCCTCTCTAACCCCTCTAAGGGCTTGTTCCCCTTCTCATTTTCCAGACCTCTGTTATCAACCCCTCTGCTGCTTAGAGTTTTCCTCCCTCGGCTCTGAGACACTATAGTGGGGGAAGCTTCTCATAGTCTTAGGACCATTTCTTCTTTGCCTTCTTCTCTTGTCTCCTATGCCCGCTCTCCTAATTTGGGGGCATTTGTCAGACTTCAGACCTTTTTCTCTAACCTGTGTTTTTATAGTCTCCCCATAAGAAAGTTGATTCATTCCCCAATGTCAATTAACATTTGCATATTGGAATAACTTTTTTATCTTTATCTCTATCACTGAATTGTGTCCCAAACTTTAGGATTTCATTTTTCTTGTATTGTTTCAATTCCTTCATGACTCAAAACCAATTCATTCCATAGAACCCAGCTCTAAAACCTGGCTCCTGATCTAATATTTTCTTCGTCTCACCCTTCTGCTGTGGCGTCGGTATGGTTTTAATGGTCAGGTCTCAAAATCACAGTCCACTTGTTGCTTCTCCTTCTTTCCTGAATGGATGATCACTTGTTAATTGCTTTGTCAATTGTTTTGTGAATTGCCTTGTAGTAAGTTTCTCCTTCCTCTGCCTTTCTTCCCTTTTCTGACCCTGAATCAGGGACTTTACCAAATATTTGGATTAATACCATGACCCTCGAATTGAATGACTGGCATTCCATTTCACTCCCTCAGTTCTATAAAAAAAAAAAAAAAAAGAAAAAAAGATTAAAAAAAAAAGAACCAAAAAACCCTACCAGCTTTAATCTATTTTAAATACTCCTTTTAGTAACTGTCACTATCTCTTCCTGGCAGCTCTACCTGGCATTAAGCCCTTGACATTTTCGGCTCAACCTGTATTTCCAGTGTAGATATGCTACTCCCAGTCCACCTCAACAAGCTCTGTGTGTGTGAACCTCTGAGATTATTTCTAACATTTCTTCAGGCCCTCAAGAGTAGCTCCAATTCTCCAAAGCCCATTCATCTTAGAAGTATCCTTCCACCAGTCAGCTTCCGTAGTTTGGGCATTTTCATGCAACACCTTTCACATCACTTCTTACCATTTTTCGTGTGTACAGAATTTTAGCTTTCTGACTATGACATCATGTCTTCAAGGGCAGGAACCCTTTCTTACTTGAACCCTTTTCTTGATTCCCCACTTTGATTTGAATTGATTCCCTAACTTGAAGACTTGCAAAAAGTGGGGGCATAGTGTTTGTTGGCTAAAGAGTTGAGATGCAATTTGAATTTAAGTTAAACATGAACTGAGGTTAAATAGACTCTTGTCTTCTAAGGCCTAGGTCAGAGACCACACTGTCAAAAGAAACAGCTTCCCTTGTGGCCGGGGGGAGAGCAAAGGCAGGGCAGCAATCTGAGCAGGACTTTTCACCAATCTAAAGAGTAGCTTTTGCTTCCTCTCTCTCTCAAGACTGAGAACTTGTGAGTGAGAGACCCTTCATGACTCTTCGTAGACGCACCAGAAAATGTTCTTGAATCTTTTATCGATGCTATTCTGTTCTGCTTTATACCACGATGACATCTCAACTGCTAGGGTGTGTTCATGGGCAACATTGTTAAGAATTCCCCAGAAATTAATTAAGAATTATCTGGAAGTAAAGAAATTCAGCTAAACTGATTATGTGATTGAAAACTGATTTTTTTCTGCTCATGTTCCAATGTACCCCTTTGAGGGTAGCGTGCCTGAGAACAGATAGCTACAATGAGCATCCGGTCTGAGGAAAGCTCCGGCCCAAGCCGCTCATACGTAAGGAATATACAATTAAGATAAAAACAAAAAGCCATGCAGCCCTGGACAGTAAGATACTTACATCCAGACCAAGGTGAATTTTAAAAGGCGAGACTGAAGAGGAGGCATGGTTGTTTGAACACATTCATTTCATCTCATGGTGAAAAGTCATCTCTATGCTCTTTTGGCCAAAGGAGAGCCTTACACATGGATGCTTTATAAATTATCCTTGAGTTACTTAATTTTGGCAATGTACTCTATAAGTTCTCCAAATAAACTCTTTCAGGCTTTGCCAGCATGAACAGAAAAGAATTCATACTTTCCTAATATTGACGGTTTCCAGAACCTGCTCTTTCAGAAAATGTCATTTTCCTAAAGCACCCAGAGGGCAAAGATCTCATTGAGATGGACTGGCCTTTTGAGAGAGATTGGTGAGGGGCTTGGGGTACCTATGGGAACATTCTTTGGGGAGACAACCTTGTAAATAATCCTACTAAAGAGATATTCTTTTAATCTCCCATCTCTTATGGAAGCACTTCCTTCAACATGCACCTTCGCTCAAGCAATTTTAAGGGCGCGGGTGATGTCCCCACCCCATTAGCAGCCCATTCCACTGTCAGTGACTTAAACTGATGAAAATTTCTTTCTTACTTGGGGCCAAAATTATTAACCAAATTAAGTTTTCTGTTTCTCCAATAGACAACGGAGTCAACTTGGGGGCCAGCAGTCTCAGAGTATGATACTAAATTGCCATGCATGCACTCATTCATCTGTCCATTCAGAGAACAGTCGTAATTGGTTATAAACAGTTATAAACACTCATGAAACACACTACACACACACACACGCACACACACATATACACGCAAACCCACACAAAGAAAAAGAAAATTGTTATAAGGACCTAACATAGTTTAAAGAACTCTTGTTCTAGCACAGAAGACAGATGTGTAATCAGTTACTATACCAGTGTGGAGGTAAGTGCTATTAACACTAGTTAATAGCAGATAACAATTAAGGCAAGAGGAACAGCTGAGAGCAGTTAGGAAAGGCTTATCTCCTTGTGTTGAAGGCAGAAGAACGTAAGGCCACTTAAGGAAATATTTATGACGCAGGACAGTTTCTTTGAGCTCAAGTAGAAATTGAGATAGAAAATAAGATTAGACAAGATAAAGTAAGATCAGATATGAGAGATTAGACTCAGAGCCCCTGTGAGGACCTAGTCATGGAGAGCACATGTATTATTTCTGTGACTGAGGCAGGAGGGACCAGATCACAAAGGGTTGTGTAGTCCACGCTAAGGCCTTATAAATAGTGGGAGCTATTGAAGTCTTTTCAGCAGGAGTGTCATAATCACATTTGGTAATTCCATGTTCAGGAGATTCTTCTGCCTACAGGTAAAGGACTCATTCATTCAGCCAGTATTATCGGAGTGCCAACGTCCTACCAGACACGGCTCTAGGGACTGAAGGATAGTAGTACGCGAAACAAAGATGTCAGTCCTTTTAGTGATTCTATTCTTACGTAAAATAGCAGCTGATAATCTAATATAAATGTAATCTAATATAAATGACTACATTATATGGTATGTTAGGTGGAATTGAGTGCCTTGGGAAAGAGGAGAGTTGGGCATGCTGGAGAGAGAGGCGCTTCTCCCGCAATCTGCACGAGGCAGTCTCACCAGAGAGAGCAAGGGAAGTCTCTGGATGTGGGGAGGTGCACCGTGGCAGCAAGGTCAGCCCTTGGACAGTGGATCTGAGGAAGAAGCCCACAGGCCTGGGAGCAGGCTTAGGGCCGTTTAGAGATTTCCAAAGTCCCAGGATCCCAGACTGCAATGGGTGGTGGGGTCAAGAGCTCCAGAGGACACTGTCAGTTCTGCAAATGCCTCACGCTGCAGGGAGAGGCATGGCCATTCTTGGGTCTTCTAAAGCATGGGGCGCAAGGCAAATGTCTCTCTTGCCTGGGCTACTAGACAGACTTAGGATTTTATTCTCAGTGAAATGTTGAGTCATCAAAGGATTTTGAGCAGGAAGCTCTGCTTCAATATAAGGAGGAATGACAAGAATTAAGGTGATAACAGTGGGGTTGTAAAAAGAAAAGGCATCATCCAGAAGTATCCCAACACAGAATTAACAGGACTGGGGGATGGACTGGATTTTCAAGATGAGAGAT